GTCCCTGGCTAGCAGGGTGATTTTTAGGTTAATTCTTAAGTCCTACCACCCCAGGAATCTGCGAGAGCACTGTCTCTTTAAATATCCAAAATAGTCAAGCTGCTTTTTAAACCTACAAGATGGCGGCACCCTCCGGAATGGCAAAAGTTCACAGCTCAGCCCACCTTTCTCTTCACCTTCTCCGTTTGTTCCCCAGCCACCGTGCACAGTCCTCCATGTGGTCGCTGGCTAGCAGGGTGATTTTTAGGTTAATTCTTAAGCCCTATCACCCCTCGGGAATCTGCAAGCTGTCTGTGCCATCAGGATCGCTCACCACCTCTGCCAGACCGCAGCTCCGTATGTCTCCTTTTTAGGTATTTTCACGCAAATTCTTCTGCTAGTTGGGGTTTAGTCCACTTCTATATCCTTCTCTTCAAGGCTCAGGGGTCCAGGATTATCTTCTCTGTCTGTGTTAATTGGTTTCCCTTTTCTTTGTTGAAGAGGGTCTGTGTAGTCTTTCTGCCTAACCCGCCATCTTGCCAGAAGCTCTGCCCAGAGTTGTGGTCTCAAATTATTATGGTTATTTTAAAATTACCTTCTTCAGGTGGAACTTACATGAATATACATAAACACGGAGATTGATAGTTAATAACTTAGGAATTTTAAGTTCTTAAAAAGGATTGACTTTTGTTCTTTCTGAAAGTATTTTTTAATTCTATTAATTTATATAAAAAAATTTCAACAGACTTCTAACTTTTTCAATCTGTATTCACTTTACCTTATTAACTTACATTTTCAATTAAAAAAAAAATGAATTCACTTCTTTAAGCTATTTATGGAAGTATTAATTTTGAAAAAGAATCATCATACCTGTTCTCTGATAAGCATGGTATTGCAGTATTCACAGATGACATTTGCCAAAGGACAGTTCTGGTCATGGATCTAAATTTTATTAGGGAAATAAAGGAAGAGTATGAGAAAATCTGAAAATGTAAAAATGACCACCTTCTATAAAAAAGTAGAAGTTTTTCACTATAAGTTAATTAAGGACATTGATTTGTATAAAGCAAAAATGTGAGAATACTAAAGACAGGCTCGTTTCCTCTGCCAGTGTAGTAACGAAGATTCACCCAGCCTCTAGCTCTTTGAAAGAATCCCACAGTGTGCAACGGGATCTTTCAAGTCACTTCCTTTCCAGAAGAGGCAGAGCATCTGTGACTAGTCTGGACACTGTTTGCCAATACTGTAATTCTCCAAAAGCACTCCTGTTCCAAACATTCCTAGCAGCAGCCTGACGATTTAATTAGAACTCTTGTCAGTAGGGCTGAAGAACAAAACCATTATTAGGGTGTGAGGCTTTGGAGCCCAGCTTCTCATCCGCCCCAGGTTTTTGAGACCACAATGACTTCAGTTTAGTGGATATGCTGAAAATAATTAGCTCTTGAAGTTAAGTTTATCTCACTTACTGAGGCTGATGAAGGCCACACCAATTTGCTTTAATTATGACTCAGACTTCTTTACATCTTGAGCAAGTCAGCTGCCTCCTTTTTTCAGTATCTCATGAAGTTAATGAGTGTAAGAAATTTGATTTCATACGAAAGTAGGGAAATACAGCAATATAAAATTTATAAGTATCTAAGCAGTGGTTATACTGAAAATAACTTAGATGTAAGTTATTTTGGTAAAGAGGACGTAGGCTGGGGACTCAGGGGCTAGGATCTTAGTGCCAGCCAAGTGAAGCCCAGCACTAATATAAAATTACCTAACCTCTGTTCATCTCATATCTGAATGGGGAAAATCTACTATCATAATGATGCTGTTAGGTTCCATGAAGTTTCTTCTTTAAAAATAAACATTTTAACTGAAGTATAACACACAAACAGAGACATGCATACATTATAAGCATATGGCTCAATGAGTTGTCACAAAGTGAACATACTCTGTAGGGTTTATTTTATGCTCTGTTAAGACTTTTAACAACCTATTTTCTTTTTCAAAATAGTTCTCTAAGTCTTACACAGTAATTAGCCTACTTTTTGTCTCCAATCCAAGACTGGTCATTAAAGTTGCACATCACAAAGCAGAACAGCATGTTTTCCTGGGAGCTTCTGTTACCTGCACATCTCCAGGAGCAGTTGGTCATATGACCATGATTCTAAATATACAACCTACACGGATTTAATAACGTGGCTTATTAAATTTTCTTTCTTAACAATCAATTTTCTTAAAATCGATAATGTTGTCTCAGAGTTGGAGTAACAGCCTCCATATACTTAATCCCTTCAAATACTTCTTTAAAAGAAAAATCTGAAAAGTATTGGAATTAACAAATCCAAGGTAGTACTTGCCTCTTTATCTTCATATGCCATTAACATAGCACAGTTCACACAAGAAACCTGTCTCCTTGGACATTCCTTGAGAATGTGACCTTTAAGTGTGCATTTTTGGAAGGGACGTTGGCATTGGGGACAGTCCCTAAGGGCAAACTCACAATGTGCTTGGTGATCCTATAATAAAGAAAAAAATAATCAGTTTTTGCCAATCTTGAAGACGTTTCCTAAACATAACGTCTTTTAAGAATATTCTCTTTTAAAGAATTAGCTATTGAACCTACTTGAAAAGAATTTATAAAGACCTTCATATTGTGAATTGCTCTGTGCAACAAATACATGAATTCTCAATTGAGTTCACGTATTCAATTAGGAAGAATGTGTTGGAAAGAAGCCACATTACCTGATTATCAATTTAGTAACGTGCCAAAAGGGCCTTTCCTCCATAAGAGTTAAGAGGACAGTTGCAAATGTGTCCTAAACATTTCTCTTCAAGTAGAACATTAATAAAACAAAAACAAAAACAAACTCACTGCCGTCGAGTCAGATCCAACTCATAGGGAACCCTCCTTGGGTTTCTGAGGCAGTATCACTACGGAAGTAGATTGCCCAGTCTTCCTTTTGAGGAGTAGCTGATGGCTTTGAACTGCCAGGCTTCTGGTCAGCAGTCAAGTGCCTTAGGCACTGCACCACCAAAGCTCTATTAGCAATATTTAATTCCTGGTTGACATTCACCAAGTCAAGAATTGATTTACTGAATTTAAAAGCAAACTATTTTATTATCGGATTGTTTCCAGTAATCTCAAGCTATAGGATGACAGCAAGTAATTAACAATAAAATACACAATTTAGAAAACAGAGAAAAAAGATAATGAGGCTACTGAGATAATGGCTGATGGGCATTGTTGCTTATTTAAAAATGAATTTATAGGATTAAAATGTGGCACTTGTATTTAAAATACTCTTCAGTTTTACTGAAGATATGCTCACTCTAAAAACTTGTACAATACTGATCTTGTTTTTATTATTACTGGGCCAAAGTCAAAGTAGATGAGAGAAGGAATTTCTCCTTGGTTTCTGCTCATATTTATACTCAATCATCAAAGGGTCAGTACTCACTTAGTGAGCAAATATTAATCAATTATTATATGCTGCTGTTGCTAGATGCCCTCAAGTCAATTCTGACTCATGGCAACCCTGCATGTGCAGAGCAGAACTGCCCCCTAGGGCTTTGAAGGCCACCATCTTTTAGAAGTAGGCAGACAGGCCTTTCCTCCAAGGTACCTCTAGGTGGATTAAATCACCAACCTTTCAGGTGGCAGTCAAATGCTTAACTGTTCTGTGCCCCCCCAGGTACTAGGTACAATCAGGCACTATCAATACACAGACAGTCATAGCAAAGTCCCTGGGCTCTAGGAATTGCCTTCCATATGTGGTGCTGCAAGAAAACAGCTAATACCTCGAGATGCCTCAGCTCCATCTTGTGTAAACAACCTGCATTTGGACACTTCACTGTCAGAGAAAGAATCTCTCGTTTTGCAAAATTATCAGGAAATAGTTGATTTTCCAGCAGTATTTCATTGTCGACTGGACATTTGTGACCTGCATCCCTAAAGAAACAAATAGTGTATAAACAGTCAGCAGTTTTAAGAGAACATTTATGTTAAAAAACACAACTTCAGTTCATGTATACATCCTCCATTTATTATTTCCAGTCGAAGAATATAGGAACTCTGGTGATACAGTGATTAAGGCATTCAGCTGCTCACCAAAAGGTCAGCGGTTAGAACCCATCAGCTGCTCTGCAGAAGAAGGCTGAGGCAGTCTGCTTCTATAAAGATTTATAGCTTTGGAAACTCGATGGGGCAGTTCTACTTTGTCCTAAAGGATCACTGTGAGTCATAACTGACTCAATGGCAGTAGGTCTGGTTTTGTTTATTTACAAGTAGAATAATTTAATACATTAAATTGATGAATATCACCAAAATAAAATGTCCATAAAAGAAATGAGTATAATCAGCACTATATTGGTTATTGGAAACAAAAAGTTAGGGATTTTTAGACTGTAAACCAGATTCCAACGAAAACAAAAGAAAAAAAATGAATAAGGTAGTATTGTGATGGGCATAAAATGAAGTGGCGTTGCTGTTGCTAGCTGCTGTGCAGCTGGACCCGACTCAACACGCTGCCTGGTACTGTGCCGTCCCCAGGGCCCGTTTCAGATTGGACTGCTGCCATCCCTGGAGTCCCCACGGGCTGATCTTCAGAAGCAGATCCCCAGGCCTTTCCTCCTGGTCCAGCTTAGTCTGGAAGCCCTGCTGAGAACCATTCAGCCTCACAGCCACATGGAAGGCTCCACTGACAGACGTGGTGGCTCTGCACGCGGTGCCCTGGCCAGGGATCCAACCCAGGTCTCCCACACGGAAGGTGAGAGTTCTACCGTAAGCCAGCACTGTGCCCCTTAAATCAAAGTTAAAGATGGGAATTTTGTCAGTCTTGTTGGCATCTATTATGCCAACAGCATATAATAAACTTGTGAGATGGAACTATACACCCTGTTCGAAACATTTATAACATGTCTATCGTAGACTGCTTGGTCATTAAGTAAAAATTTTAACCAGTTATGAAGATAAGGTTTACTCTGAAACCGTCATTCCAACACTCTGACTCACGGACAACAAAAGAGGTTCCCTGTATTTGCACGTCCAATGTGCTCTGTCAGAGGGAGTCAGAGGGCCTCTGTGTCCTGCCTCCCAGGGGTTTATTCCATCTCATATGGGAAAAATCACCTAGAAGCAGCTTAGGTGTCTGTAATCCCTCTTTCCCTTATTGAGATGTCTGAATCTGGAGTCACCAAATGTGGGCTGTCAGATAGGTGATAGGAGCAGTAATCAATCATTCACTCTTTACTGAGCACCCCCATGTGTAAGCCAATAGTTCTAGCTGCTGGGGTAGGTAAAAAGGTAACTGAAAAAAATGGGCTCTGCCCTCAAATGGCTTGTAATTAGGAAACAAACTAAAAGCAAACCCACTGCCATTGAGTCGATTCTGACTCATAGTGATCCTATAGGACAGAGAACTGCCCCATAGTTTCCAAAGCTATAAATCTTTATGGAAGCAGACTGCCTCATCTTTCTTCCCCGGAGTGGCTGGTGGGTTTGAACTGCCAACCTTCTGGTCAGCGGTCAAATGCCCTAGGCACTGTACCACCAGAGTTCTTTATAATTAGGAAAGGTGAAAGATACAGTCAGTCTTTATGGGGCTGCTCTCAGACTGCATAATGTTCTTAAACTGTCAAATAGCAAGTACTTTCTGAAAAGAATAGAAAGCCATAAACAAATTTATGGAAATGTGTCCCCAAAACCTAAGTGATACAAGTCTAAGAGAAAATAAGAAGAGCCTTACAAAATAAGCTGAAGCCATTATCCATAGCAGTAGTATCACTATAGAACAAAAAGGGATTGGCTGGAAAGAACTGTGACTCCTTAATGGCCATAACCTAGAAGTCCCATGGCAGCTCCCATAAGAACCTTAGAGCTGAAGCTAGTGGTCATTTCTAACCCGGAGGGAGACAGAAAAAAAGCCCTTGACTTCCTTTTGTGAGTTTTACTTCCTTTTCAGACCATTGTCCTACTATTCTCATGAATATCTTACAACTAGAAAAGTGCTGAAGATCAGCTATCTTCCTGGGCACGGGTGACAAGTACATGTCTAGTGACAGGAAGACCAAACATCCATGATATGGTATCATTTTGACCTAAATACAACATAAATAAATAAATGATAAAAATCATGAACAAAAAAAAGCTGAGTGGCAACACTGCTTGTTTGTGTGCCCTAAAAGCAGCATCCTTAACCAGGGACAACTTTGCCCAAAGGACATCTGGCAATGTCTGGAGACATTTTTGGTTGTCATGATGGGGGGCTCTTGGTCAGGGGGAATAGTGGTGCTACTGGGCAGAGGTCAGAGACATTGCTACTTACACATCCCACACATATGTATAGGACATTCTCTTACAATAAAAAAGTAACCAATGTTAACAGTGCTGAGAAATCCCACCTGAACAGGTAAAAACGCTCCAATTCACCATGGGTAACAGTTTTCACTTTAACTGAAACAAGAGATATTCTCCCTTATAATTTAAATCATGCCACGTTCCAAGCATGGATATAACTACCCTAAATTCATTTTATAGGCGCTCTGGTAGCATAGTGCCTAAGGCACTTGACTGCTAACCAGAAGGCTGGAGGTTCATACCCACCAGCCACTCTTCAGAAGGAAGGCTGGGCAATCTACTTCCGTAGAGATACCGCCTCGGAAACCCAAGGAGGGGTCGCTATGAGTCGGGGCCGACTTGACGGCACATAACAATAACAACAAATTCATTTTATAGAAAAGTTAATACACAAAAAGTTTACAGATAAAAACTTACTAAGGGGAGACTGACGAACAGCCTGAGATGGACTTAACCTACTCAAGAGTGCTCTCATCAGTATGATCAGATGCTTATTAAGGAATATAAAATCTCCCCTTCTTTCCCTTTTGTCCTGTACTGAACTTCTTAGTCAGCTGAAAATACTCCTTTCTACCCCTGAATTATAGTAAAATGTATCTCTTCTTTAGAAGATGAATGTGAACCATTTAAAGAAATCCCATGTTCCTTCATTCAGCTAAAGCTACTGATTTACTGAGCATCTACTATGTGTGGGTCATTGTTCTTGGTGCTTGGGAAATACTAAGGAATCAAACACCTAAACCCCTGCTCTCCAGAGCTTTTCTTCCAACGTACCAAGCAGACAACACACACACAAATTACCTAGTGTTTTAAAAAGTGAAAAGTGTTAAGGAAGAAAGAAAAGCAGAGTTTGTAACCGGGATCAGGAGTGTGGGGAGTAGAGATATGCTGTAGTATGAATAGGGTAGTCAGGGAGAAGGTGAGGTCTGGGCCACACTTGAGGGAGTTAAGATAGCAAACCAGTTAGTCATGGCAAGAGTATTCAAACCAAAAAACCAAATCTACTGCCACTGAGTCGATTCCAACTCATAGTGATCCTCCAGGACAGAGCAGAACTGTTCCGCTGTAGGGCTTCCAAGGCTGTAAATCTTTATGGAAGAAGACTCCTCGTCTTTCTCCTGTGAAGTAACCAGTGGGTTCAAACCACTGACCTTTTGGTGACCCGCCCAATGTTTTAACCATAGCACCACCAGAGCTCCTCAGAGTATTCCAAGCAGAGTGAAAGCTCAAGCCAAGGCCCCAAGACAGGCACACAGTTGGCATGATCAAGGAATGAACAGAGTTGAGAGGAGGTCACAAAACTAATTAGGGGCCACTCATGCAGGGCCCTATAAGGACTTTGGCTTTTATTCTCACACAACCCACTGCAATGCTTTCAGCAGAGGTGACATGACCTTATTTATTTTGCTAGGTTCACTCTGGCTGCTGCTGTATTGTGAACAGAGTGGAGGAAGGCAAGAGTAGAAGCAGGAAACCTGTGAGAAGACTTGTTCCATAATCCAGGTGAGAGCTGAGGTGGTTCAAGAGAGGGTGGTAGCAGGGAAGGTAGTGAGAAGGGGTCAGATTTTATATATTAAGATGATAGAGCCATCAAAGATTTCTAAAAAACAATACTGGTTATTTTACTGCTATATTGATTATCTCGTCATCTGACATTTTGCATTTACAATTTTGAAAAGATTCTCAGGTGGTGCCTCTGATGGTCTGGGCCCCACATGGGCCCCCAGGTTGCCCTCCATGGACCACCCTGAACAATATACAGGAGGCTCTTGTGACGACGGTGCTACCTGAGGGATAGTGACCTTCTTCTGTGTGTCCATGACATCGTGGTCTGGCCATGGAGGGTGCAGGGCAATGGCAGGACGACATGAGGTCATGGGCAGGCAGGAGGAGGCTGGATAAGGGCCTGAAGGTACCAGGAAGGTTGGAGGGGGGATGGGGTAAGGAAAGGGAACCATATGGGCTATGGATCTGAGGCTAATGGAGGATGAGCAGGGTCCCTGTCCGGGGTGGAGAGTGGGAGGTGGCGGGCAGAGAACAAGTGGGGTCCCTGCCCAGGCAGGCACTGGGAAGCAATGGCAACAGGCAGCACCTGGCCACCACCATCACACACCCTGCAGGCTCTGCAGCGGTGGGGAAGGGGGTAGCTGCCACACCATTTGTATCCTGAGATGTGCTGGGCACACCCAACAGGTGGGGAGCATGTAGGGGTGTGGGTTACGTGGTGGTGAACATGGGACATAGGCTGACTCTTGTATAATGCCGGTTTACCATAAGACCTGGCCCTTAGAACCTAACCATGTTGGTGAGGAGTGGGTAATAAATGATGGTGACAAGAGATCAATGTGGTTACAAATCAGAATAACTGGTCACGCAGTCAGCTTTAGCTCTATGACAGAGATTATCATATTCTAGTAGCACCATCATTTAAGGCATGTTTATTTTTTATTTTCTTAAAGAATAGAAACTAAAACACTAGTCTACAATGGAACTGATTCAAGAAGATCTATTTACTGATTAATATTCTCCGATTTAGTTTGTTATAGGGCACGGTTCCTTCTTATGATCATGTACCTTATTGATTTGATGATGCAGGCTTTGCAGAACCTATGGCCACATGGTGTTTGCACTGCTTCCCGTAAAGCCATCAAGCAGATGGGGCATTCATACTTGCTTTCCAGGGGTGGGTCAAACTCCACGTCGTACCCCTGGATCTCCTCCATGAAGGAGCTGGAGAGGTTCCCTGTGCTGGTGGCTCCACTCACACTGTCGTCTTTCGCTGCTGTGCTACAGGAGCTGGCCATCGCAGCGCAGCAGTCACTGTCAGGCTGGCTGGACCCACAGCTGTTTTCACAGTTTAGCAGACTCATAGTAACTTGATTATCAATTGCCCTGAAGAAAGAGTAAGAGAAAAATGCTGTACCATTACATATGTTTGTTGGTGGTGGTTGCTACCAAGTCGATTCTGACTTATGACGACCCCATGTGTGCAGAGTAGACGTGCATCACAGGGTTTCAAGGCTGTGACTTTCGGAAGCAGAATGCCAGGTCTGTCTTCCAAGGTACCTCTGGGTGGGCTTGAACTAGCAATCTTCTGATCAGTAGTCAAGGGCTTAACTATTTACACCACTCAAGGACTCCTAAAATACATATACTTATAGCATAGTGCCTAGGAGCTCTGGGAGCATAGTGCCTAAGGCACTTGACTGCTAACCAGAAGGCTGGCGGTTCAAACCCACCAGCCACTCCTCGGAAGGAAGGTTGGGCAATCCTACTTCCGTAGTGATACTGCCTCGGAAACCCAAGGAGGGGTCGCTGTGAGTCGGGGCCGACTCGACAGCACATAACAACAACAACATATACAACCTTAGCTGATGGCTACATATAGTAGCTTTTATTTACAGAAAACTTTTAAAGTTTTTTTGAGCTTTACTTCATATAAGTATGACTTTCATAATAAGTTACCTGATTCTCACCTTCAATACATTTATAATATATACCATCCTCTGTGGAAAGTACCTAGAACACACAAAGCCTAAGTTCCTTAAGGAGTTTATGGTCTAGTAGAAAAACAGAATGTAAGGTTTAAAAAAAAAAATTTAATTGTAAACTTTATCTAACTCATAATTACGTGTTTAAATGTCAGTTTCTTGTGACTGCAGTCAAGACTTTAATTTTCCTTTTCATATCCTTCATACCTAGCAAAAGACTTTTCACCCACCACCACCAGGTGCCGCTGGGACTACTCCCAGTCATGGTGACTACATGTTTGAGTAGGACTGTGTTTCGTGGGGTTTTCGAGGGCTGATGTTTTGGAAGCAGACTGCCAGGCCTTTCTTCTCAGGCACCTCTGGGTCCCTGAACCTCCAAATTTCCAGTTAACAGTGAGCACATTCACCGTTTGCACTACCCAGGCACACTCTTTCACATAACAAAGTGTCCATCAAGCATTGGCTGAAGAATTTAATCATGTTGCTGAAGTTCCTCCAAGGATTCTGAGCTGAAGGAAGCTGTACTGACAAGGAGGGCGGTGCTGCAAAAAGCAGTGGACAGGAGTTGGGTGATCACGTGCCACTGTCAGATGTGTGATTTGGGCCAAGTTTCCTTCTTCTAGATCTAGAAATTCTGTATGTACTTCCAAATGTTTTGTTGTTTGCCGTCGAGTCGGACTCAAGTCATAGTGACCCCTCCTTGGGTTTCCGAGGCAATATCACTACAGAAGTAGATTGCCGAACCTTCCTTCTGAGGAGTGCATGGTGGGTTTGAACTGCCAGCCTTCTGGTTAGCAGTCAAGTGCCTTAGGCACTATGCTACCAGAGCTCCTTCCAAATTGTGTGGAAAGAATGGAGTTGAAAAAGTGTATTTTTATATACCTCTGCCTTTCAGTGCAGTCAAGTGACTATGTTTCATTATTAGTGACTGGAAAAACAAGTGAGGTTTTGTCTGCCTATGGAAAATGACTGTTTTCATTGGTGGGGGGGATGTCTTCAAATTCTAAACCATTATGGTATTTGCAGGTGGGAAGTTAATGTCTGAATGCAATTCAAAGCTCCTGTAACCAGGACCCCATTTTAGATCATTACCATTAACGAAAATTCCTAGTATGTGCCAGATATAGTTCTAGGAATGGAATGTAAGCTCCCAGTCAATATGGTAGACTGTTAACCTCCTGTTTCTTTTTAATACGAGGCTTTGCTGCCAACTTGCCAAACAGACGAGGTTAACACAGTAGTCCTCATCCTTTTACCGCCCCAGATACCTTTTAATTCTCCTCCAAGAGATTTTATCTGGGTACTATTTATTGAGAGAGCCTGTACTGTGAAGTGGTGCTGGAATCAAGCGTTGTGAATTTGACTCCTTTTTCTATCACTTGCTGTGTGACCTGAGCAAGTGAGATAACCTTTCTGGGCTTTGCTTTCCTCATCTGTAAAATGGGGATAATAATAGAATCTACCTCAGAGTTACAGAGAGGATGAAGTATCTTAATATGTACAAAGCACTTAAAATCATTTCTGGCATATGACTGAGTTATTACATGCAGCCTTACATAGTATTTCATTTAATAGTTTTATTGTTCCTATTTTACAAAAGTGGAAACTATGGAGCTTAAGAAGGTTAAATAACCAGGATTACCCAACAAATAACAGAGTGGGAATTATGACCCCAGAGCCTACATACCTTATGCCATGTTATGCCTGTCTTTTTCTGTTTCGATGGATTTCCCTGTGAAAATGCATTTAAAACTTATTTCCCTTTATTTTTCTTACACTCAATGAAGAAACGACCGTTTCTATTAAGTATGAGTTGTTCAGCGTCCAGGGTGACAGAATTCCAAAATCAACAATGAAACCTGGCATTTTATTTATTTAGTTTTGATATAGTGTCTTTAAAAGTTAAAAATAGCCCCCAAAGCCTTGTTATTGCTAATGTGGACTCCAAGGGATGCTCATTATAGGCTGAGAGGAAGGAAAGTTATGGCAAGACAGTAGGCAGACAGCAGAACACGTCATTACATGTGCTCCTTAGGGTGGGCTAGAAGGGCTGCATCAGACCCTTCAAACCTGGGGGCAGATGCTACACTAAGGGTTATATCCTCTGTCATTCTTCTTTGCATGTATGTTTTGTGTCCAATTACTTCTGTAGGTACATTTCCTAGAAGTATACCTGCTCAGTCAAAGGGTGTGTACTTTTTTAAAGCTTTGAAAGCTAATCCTGGTTATCCAGCACATAACAAAGGCTTTCCAAGGTCCACCCTCTCCAGCATAGAGTGAGTAACAAGCCCACTCTGCACACTCTCTACACCATCAGGTATATTTTATCTTTTAAGTCTTTGACCATTTTATTTTTTAAAGTCAACCTGCTTTTGAAAAATTAGTATTTAAGTTACTTTTGGTTGGACAGCTTGTATTCAAGTGCTAGCCAGAAGACAAAGGCAAGCATTACTGAGCCAAACCTGCTTTTTCTACCCAAATGGGCAGCCTAAAACCCAGCTTGCCGGATATTCTATAGCTGCTCTCCTCCCGTCCAGATGAGAAGACTTGAAGGTTTTTGGATGCAAAGAGACCTTTTATAGGCAATGTGTTCCTAAGAAAACTTGTCTAATCAGTTACAATTCCTTAAAAGGAATTTCACTGTAGGCATGCAGTTTAAAGACATAAACACGAGTTCACTTAAAAATCAAGATGCCTTCAAATTTTATATTACTTGTCATATTTTAAGAAGCAATGCAGAAGGTCTACATCCTTCAAATAAACTGTGTCAGTCACTTTCTCAGCGATCATTATTAGTCTACTGCAAAGACAAAATTCTGCTAAAAACAGTATTTTGAATCATGTTCAGTATTTGTATATTTATTCTTTCTCTTTGAGAGGTTAAAACATTTCTCCTCCCATACATTTAGGAACTGTAATGACTTTAAGTGAGGATTGCTTTCCTAATTAAGAACAATGAAAACCTATTTTAATTAACAGTAAGAGAAGAGCACAAAAGTGCTTTGAGGCAGTTATAAAAGTGAGAAGAGGAGGAGCTGGCATCCATGGAGAGAGTATTAGGCTCTGTCAGGATTCTTCTGCAAGTCTTACCATGCCACATGAAGACTTCATGACATGCCACCAAAGTAGACTTAGGCTACAACTCTGGCTTCAAAATAACTAAAATAAATCAGTTATATTCTTTTCTCTTACCTTTCAAATGAAGGGTTGTTCAAGTCCTCTTTCTACTCTAACATTCAGATTTTATGGGCCTCTTATGGAAGGGATGAAACACCGTAAATTGTTCCTTACCCTGCAGACTATGAGCCTTGATTTCAAGTGCCTTTGTGCAGCTGTGAAATATAGCATGGCAAGCACTGCCTTAATGAAATATTGTGGGCTCTAACTATTCCCGACTTATTCTGACTACAAAATGAATGAGTATAAAAAACAGCCTTGTCATAAGTCATGGCTTAACTTTACCCATTAGCATCTGGGTATAATCATCTCAAGAGTGTGTTGTGAGATTCTGTGGGGGTGGGAAGAGTAGGGTGATATACAAAGATCAACAGATGTTAAACCCCGGGAAGGTGCCAAGCAAAGAAATCAACAAGTTAGGTCTTGAAAGTCAACTCTAAGTAAACTGAAATTCATACATGGCTACACATGTAAGTCATATAAAGCAAAACTATGTAAAACAAAATAACAATCAATTTGCTACTAGCTTTACAAGCAGAACTATTTGTCAATTGCTTAAAATTTATTCCCAAGATGCAAAAAACCTGCAAATGTGTGCAATGGCCAAGAGGTGCTACAGAATATTCAACTGTGGGAACTTAATTTTGAATCCAGAGAATTCAAGGCATATTCCCTTCCTAGGCACTATCTGATCTTCAGGAGTTCTGGGAGCATAGTGCCTAAGGCACTTGACTACTAACCAGAAGGCTGGTAGTTCAAACCCACCAACCACTCCTGGAAAGGAAGGTTGGAAACTCAAGGAAGGGTCATTATGAATCGGGTCAAACAACAACAATCTGATCTTCAGGAGACAAGGACTGAACTTCTTTCAAAGTGACCCAAGAGGCCAAACATTTACCAGCATCACATATTTAAGCTCATCACAGAAAAGACCCTGAGTTAGAATTCTGAAATAGTGTCATGTATACAGTGCCAGCAGGTTGGAGCTCTATGTGATCCTTGTCCCCAACAAATGCTTGCAACACATTTGGTCCTTGAGTTACAGAAAGACGCCACACTGTCCTTACTCTCTTCCTCCAACTCAAAATCTGAAAAGCTGCTGTCTTTAATAATCACAGGAGAATGAATTCAACGCAAGTGGCCTGGTTCACAAGGCTGACACTTGGTTATGTCCTTACAAGTTTTTCTCGTTTCCATACCTG